GCGAAAGGACGCACACACGTGGGAGCCAGCAGGCCTGCTGGGGGGTCGCACAGAGCTCCCCACGCCCACCGCGAAGGGCCCAGAGAGCGCGGGTTCTTGGCTCCCTCCCGGATCGTCTTTCCCTCCCCACCCTCAAGGAATGGATCGGTTTGGTTCCTCGGCCAACCTTCACCTCCACTGTGACCCTTCGGGGTTGAAAGTGAAAGGTGATGGGGTTAAAGGAGAATGGTCCGCTTCCCACAGGGCCCAAGAAGAAATGAGAGGGGTGGAGAGGGGCTCCCCGCAGGAGCTGTAAACCGGAGCCCAGGGCACTGGAAGGAGAAGTTTGTCCGAGCCAGGGACTTCCCGAGAGGGAAACTCGAGAAGAGCTCCGGTCTTTCCTCCTCTCTGCTGCTCCTCCTCCCTAGCCGCCCTCCAGCGCATGCTCCGCGCTGTGCAGTCCACCCTGACTTCTCTAGCCTGGCCTGCAGTACCCTTGTGTCTTAATCTCCCCTGCTTGTCCCTCAGGACTCACCCCTGGGCTCCAGGCGTGGAGGTGGCTGGCCGCTCCCCAATGCCCCCTTCCCCGGGCTTTCCCACCTCCAAATGCACTCTCTGAGCCACTGCAACTCTCCACCCCCTCCTTGGCTGCCTGTCGGGCTCCTACTCAACCTTCAAAGCCCAGTGAAAATATCACATCTCTTCTAAGTCTCTGGTCTCTCCAGGGACTGTGAGTCACTCCTCTGGAGTCGATAGCTTCACCCGAGAACACAGCTTAGGATGTTCCAGCCATGCTCTGCGTGGCCTCTGGGACCACGCAGGGGCTCACATGCAGCAGGTGCTCTTGACACGTGACAGAGAATGCTTGGAGCATCTGAGTTGTGAGGATCCCTGCCAGCGGGAGGAGCTACACAGACTGTATCCTGCAAGCTCACCTTGCCTCACTTTCTTAGATGAGGCTCCCCTTTCCGATAGTAAAGAGCCTTACGTCCGTAGAACAGAGCCAGGACTCAGCGGCCCTTCCGGCTCGGGACCTTTGCACATACTGTACTCTCTGCCCAGAATCCTTTCCCCTAGCTTGTGTGTGTTCTCTTCCTTAGGTTTCAACTTCAATGAAAATTAAGTGGCTCCTTGCAAGAGTTCATCCACTGCTTCTGAAGCGGGTCTGCGCTGCCGTTCTCTGCTTTCCGTATGAGTGTTTCCTCCATAGCAGCCGCAATGGTGGGACTGCTTTGGGGACTACCATCTCTGCTTTGGGGCTCATGACCTATCTCTGCCTGGAACATGGGTCCCAGAGACTGGGTCATTTGTCTGATGTCCTCCCAAGTGTCCCTGGTGTGCTTGCACACAGTAGGTGCTTAAGGAGCAGCCATCGAGTGAGTAGTTGCTGAATGACTACATGAACAAACTTGAGGAAGAGGGGCCACAGGGCCACATGTGTAGCAGCCCACGAGCTGGCCCCTGAGAGGCCGGTTTCCCCTTCAGCTTTGTTACTGTCCCCAGCTCTCTTGCCCCCATCTAGGGCAACACCCTCAGCTCCGGAGACTGAGGGACAGTGACTGCCATCAGCAGACAGCGGTGGGGTTCTGTGGGCAAGGTGATGGCCTGCCGGGCCCCTGAGGCATGCTCTCAGCTAAAGCAGGGTTCTAGGCTCAGGCTGGGAAGAATCAGCCAAATGGCCGTGGCCAGATAGGAGGCAGCCAGTACTTCCACGTGGCCCTGGCCACCCCTCGTGCTTTTCTCTGAGCCTCAGGTACCCACCGTAAGACGGGCAGCAGCCCCTGCCTGGCTAAGCGGTGGGCACAGGAGTGAAGCACACTGCCCATGTGTGCCTCAGGTTAACAGTCAGGAGAGCGGGGCATGGGAGAGGAGGCTGCCAGGCCCTGCACCTGTGCCCTCTCAACTGATCTTCCCCACCAGCCTGCAAATCTGTGCAGACTCAGCTTCCATGAGCCTGAGCAGCCTTCCCTCCTGGGATCTCTCTGTGCAACTTGCACGGGTGACAGGGAGGCCCAGCCCGGGCCAGCACACTCCTGCCATGTCCCTGTGCAATTAGGGCAGCCCTGCCCAAAACACGGGCCTCTGTCCTCCTCGATGCAGTGGGTGGCAGCTCCCTACACCAGGATGGGCGGCAGGGACAGGCAGAAACAAGAAGATGCTTTAAACCACAGTAACGTGAGGCCACCAGGTCAGGGGCTGTGGCGGAGCCGCCTGCCCTGGGCAAAGGAACCTGAGTGTACCAACCAGCCTCAGGGAACTTACAGGGATGCGTCCTGTCTATACGCTCAGGCCCCTGGCAGATGAGGGAACGCAAACCCAGAGTCTTGACCACAGGCTCCCACGGCAGGGAGTGCCTGGGCTCCCGCCTCCCCGGGCACAGTTCCAGTGGTGGCAGGATCCTTGCTGGGGCTGCAGATGGCACAGCTGTAGGCTGGGTCCCTGCAGCAGGTGTCCTGGGGGCTGAGGCCCTGGCTGGGGCCCTGCCCGACCCCGGGGAATATTCTCAGAGCAGTGTAGAAGTTCCAAGTTTACTCAGAGCTCTCTTCTGAGCTGTCAGGAAAAGTCCCTTTGGCCTGGGGCCAAGGCAGAGTGGGGGTTGGGAGCACCTATGGGCCCTGGGGAGGGTGGGGCTTCTCCTGGCACCCCCTCCAACTCCTGGGGCCTGGAGAAGCCACAGAGGAGGGGGCAGTGGGCACGAAGACCTCTTCTCAAGGATGTGCTGGTTCCCTTGTCTGTGGCTTTCTTTGCTTTCCTTCACAATAGCCTATTGGGCGGCCCTAGAAGTTGCCCCTCCCTCCTCATGCCTCAGTTTCCCCACAGGGTGAGGTGTGAACCTCCATAAGATCCCTTACCTGTTGCGGACCCAGTACATGCTGGTGCTCCAGTCAAGAGCACCACAATTATTATCAAAATTATTTAAAGTGAAAAAAAATATTTAAAGTGAACCCTAATAGTGACTCCCTCCCCCGCCTCCGCCAATGTTTCCCTCTCTCTCCCTGCACTGGGGATCATACCCAGGGCCTTCACACTGATATACACCCCAGCCCTTTTTTATTTTTTACTCTGAGGCAAGGTCTTCCTAACTCTTAAATTGTCCCGGGTAGGGTGGAACCTGTGGTCCTCTGGCCTCAGCCTCGGAGTGGCTGGCACCTCCTGAGAGCCCCCGGGACTTCCTCTTGTCACAGGTGAGGACACAGTGTGCAGCGAGGTTAGGGCTCTCCCAGGGTCCCAAAAGCACTGAATCCCACGACCCCAGCGGGGGCTGTGGGAGCAAGGACTGCCACTCCTGCCTGCAGGGACCTGGGGCGCTGGGGAAGGGTCCCCACCCACTCTGCACTCGCATTAGTACCAGGCCCAGGCAATCCTGGGGGTGCAGAGGAGTGGGGCCCCCCAAGCCGGAGCCAGTGTTCCTCCATCCCTCTTCTCCCCTGCTGGTCTCTGTCCCCTCCTCGGGCGCCGTTTCTACATCCGTCTTCCTCTCTTGGCCCAGGAGAGAGCTGGCTCACTGGCCGGTTCTGGTCGGACAAGCTGTCCTCGCCCACTCTGCAGAGCTTGGAGGGCCTGGTCACTGGCCCTGGGGGGCAAGGGGACGAGTAGGGCCAGAGCTTCTACAGAGTCCATCACGGGGACCTGTGGTCAGGGCCTCTCCCCCATGGGCCACTCATACATGGGAACGGATTCCCTGCCCTCAGGACCCAATGCCCCTTCTTAGAGTGGCCTGGCCTGGCGTCCCTTTTTGCCTTATCCTGTCCTGCGGGCTGTTTCTTGCCATCACATAGACTGAGGTGTGATTCCAGCCCTGCATCTCCCAGCCATGGCTGACCCGGGACCAAAGTTGTACGGGCCAAGCCTCAGTCATGTCACCTGTGAAATGGGCTGCATGAGACCACCAGCCTCACCAGTGCCTTGTGTTCTAGAACATCCTTGGGCATCTCCAACCCGGTGGGTGCTGGTGCCAGGACAGAGCCCCAGGGCCAGGGAAAGGAGGGCCCTCCGCAGGGGTCCAAGGTTCCCCAGGGTGCAAACATCTCCCCAGAAGGGACAGGGTGCCTGCAGTTCCAGCTGTCACACTGCACGCTGCAGCTCTTGCAAGCAGCCCCATAGGATGGTGCCGCCTTTGCCTCCATTTTACAGATGGGCATGCCGAGGCTGGCGGAGGCTGGTGCAGAGAGCTGCATGCCGACCCAGCTAGGCAGCTGAGCGGCTGGGTTTTGCCCTCCAGGTTTTCCCCACTCCGTCATGCGCTCTGAAACCCTGTCCCCCGGGGGTGCAGATGTCCTCGTAGGGGCAGCCTTGTGGTTGTTCAGTATCCTCGGACTGCATCCTATGCTCCCAACAAGTACCAGTTCATCACCTTTGTCCTAAACCTCACCCCCAGTCTCCTGTTCTTCCCTCCCTGTGCGCCCAGCCCCCAGCCCCTGCCAGCCTCCAGACTTCGTGCTCCTCCGTGCTTTAGAAGCTTGACTCCCCCACCTCACCCCAGTCTGGGGTTCACTGAAAGGGTGAGGAGGAGCCGGGGTCAGCTGCTGCGACTGTCCTCCCAGCTTCTCCTGGCTGAGTGACCTAAGGAAGAGCCCCTTCCTGCCCGGGCAAAAGGAGCACACCACCACCTTTGAGGGACCCGAAGAAATGAAGGTGATGAGAAGCAGAAGCCGACCGGGGTGCTGTGGGCCCCCCGATGGAGGCGCCAGCCTCTGGCGTACTGGCGTGGCTGTCTGCTGCGAGGCGACTGTCCCCTCAAGTTGGGCCAGGCCTGCTTTCCTTGCCCATCCAGTTCTGGTCTGCATAGGCAAGCTCATCCTAGCTGCGGCTCTGCCCGCACACCCCAGGCCTGCCAGGGGGCTCTGGTCACTTGAGCTGGGCTGGGAGGGGTCTGGCTCCAGCCTGACTGGATGAGCCTTCTGCGCTGTGCCCCCAGCTGTGACCCGGGCGCCCCAGAACTCTCCCACCGCCGCTGTGCTGGATGCTGGGGCCAGGCGCGGAGGAGCATCCCCAACCCTAGCAATGGGCCCAGCTGTTACCTGCTGCCTCCGTGGGCTCAGACTTCCATTCTGGGTGCCGGGGGGCGATCTGGTGGCCTCCTGGCAGTGGCGGCTGGGTTTGGGGCACAGGGGGAGATGAGGGTCTGAGAAAGCCAGTCTCAGAGAATCCACACCCTGTTCGGGCCACCAGACAGTCACTCAGACGCGGGACAGCTGGGCTTCTGAACAGGTGTCCCCGGAGAGGAAGGTAGTGCCAGAAGACAGCCACGCAGAAGGATGAGGGAGTCCTCGGGGACCCGTCGGCTGCACCGGGGCTGGACAGACAGGCGGGCAGACAGACACATGCAGGGTGTGCGGCCCTCAGTCACGCGTGGAGGGAGGCGGGACGCGAGGGCACCCAGTCAGGCCCTCTATTGCTGCCGGCTGGCCGGCAGGCCGCTGCCATCCCTGAAGCAGGGTGGGGAGAGCAGGATGTGGTGAGGCGCCGCCCCGCCCCTGCGGGCTCCTCCTCGGAGCTGTGAGAGCCTGCTGCTGCCAAAGGTCACCTGCTAGGAAAACTCTGGGGGTGACATCTGCCTCTGGGGGACAGGTGACGTCATCCCCAGGCCTCAGGTTGAGTCCCCGCTTCTTAGTGATGTGGAGGCCGAGGCGGGGGTGTGTGAAGGGGGGGCACATCCTCCCCCCAACCCCCCCAGCCCACAGGGAAGGGAGGCCCAGGCTGAGAGGGCTCCCTTCTCCCTGAGAAGGCCCTCTCTTCCCCATATAGTGAAAAGCTGGCCTGTGTCCCGGTTCCCTCGTCTGCCCTGTAGGTCCCTGAGCTTGAGAACCCCCCTCTGACCCAGACCCTCCGGTTTGTCTCCCTGCGGTCCAGCCTCCTGCTGTAGCACTGGAGGCAGCAGGACTCTGTACCCAGGTTGGAGAGTAGTGAGCTGTTGGGGCCCACGTATCCCGGCTCTGAGTGTCCATCTCCCTTTCCCCAGCAGTTCACTTGGGACACCCAGCTTCCAGGGGCAGCCAGCCACCCTTACTTGGGAGTGTAGAAAGATGAGAGAAAAGACATTCTAAAAGAGATTTTAATCTAGCATCAAATCCAGGCCCTTAAGAGGTCATGGGGCTCGGGTAAGTATTTAAGAAACCCTGGTATGGTACCCTGGTGTGCCCGTAATCCCAGCACTCTGGGAGATTAAGGCAGGAGGATTGTACATATGAGCCCAGGCTGGGCAATCTAGTGAGAATTTATTTCAAAATAAGAAATATAAAGAACTGTAGCTCAGTGTGAAGGCCCCAGTACTGGGGCAGGGAGTAGGGACAGAAAAAAACAAAAGAAGCCAAAGAACAAAATTCATTCAGCCCCAACCTCCCAAGGGAAAAGCAAGAAAAGCACTCCCACCACCATTACCATGACCACCATGTCCCCACCTTGCATTGCATAAGCACCTACTTGACCTCCCTTTATCCCACAAACCCTTGTGGCAGACAAGACCTGTCCCATTTTTTATATGCAGAGGCTAGAAAGAGAGAAACATTCCCAAAGACAGCAAGTGTTGGACCTGGGATTTGAACCTGGGGCCTCTGATCCTCATGGGTACCCAGGCTGAGGGAGGCCCCAGCAAGGGACTGCAATGTTCTTGGGGTGGGTGGGATTTAGGATCAAGCCTCCTCTCCCTGACTGACTCATTTTGGGGAAATGTACTGCAGCTGGTGCACATGACCACTCCAAAGGGAAAGAGAAAGCGTCTTTCTGTTTATGTCTTGATTTTTCCACCCCTTTTGTCTAGCTTTGAGGAACTCAGTACAAATTCCCCTGTGGTCGGCTTGAGGGCATCTGCTCAGCAGACAGAGCCCCTCTTCCTGACTGTGGACAAATCTTGGCTGGCAGTCAGATTTCATTTTTCTTTCTTGCCCTCCGGGAGGCGGAGACAGAGGAATTGCAAGTTCCAGGCAGGCTGGATAACTTAGCAAGACCTTGTCTCCAAGTAAAAAAATAAAGTGCATGGGATGTAGCTCGGTGAAGAGCACCCTGAGTTCCATTCCCAGTATCCACCACTCCCCAAAAGCATGATCTCAAACCTCAAAATCAGGCTGGGGAGATAGCTCAGCGGCTTAAGTGCCTGCCTAGCAAGTGCAAGGTCCCGAGTTTGATCCCTGGTATTGCAAACATAACCAACCAACATAGATTAAAAATAGTCAAAGAAAAAAAATTCTATTGGTTCAAACTTCAAAATCACTTAAGAAGACAACTGCCATTGTCATCACCTGGGGTGTGTGTGTGTGTGTGTGTGTGTGGTGTGTGTGTGGAGGGGACAGGGTCTCACTATGCAGTTCGGTCTAGCCCTGAACTCACTATAGCCCAGGATGGCCCAAGCTCGCAGTGATCCACCTGCCTCAGTCTCTGGAGTGCTGGGATTACAGGTGTGTGCCACCATGTCTGGTGTCATTGCCATTTTTTTTTTTTCCATTATCATCTTTATCTTCCCTGCAGAAAGGCTCAGGGAGGTCAGATGACTTGTTCTCCCTGTCTTCCTTCCTCCACCTTTCCCCCTCCTCCGTCCTCCTTCCCTCCCTCCCTTGTCCACACCAACACATTGAGCAGACCCTTGGCCATGAGAGCAGACACTTCACACAAGTGGGCGCCGCGTGACCACCCTCCTTGCATCTGTTATTCTTGATGGGAGAGACATTTGCAGCAGGCAAAGTACAGTAAGTGCATACTGTACTCGGTGTCACAGAAAACTGACAGGAGGCCGAGGCTGTGACATGTAGACACACAAGACCCTAAGAAGGAACCTGACACGGGGCAGTGTTTCCCACAGGAGGGCCTGCAGACGCAAGGACAGTGAGGTGGAGAGAATGTGGCTTGCTCCAGGAACCTGGGGACAGAGTGGGAGGGAGGGAGCAGGCAGAGAAATAATGGGAGGGGATCACAGAGTCACTCCTGTGGGCCACGTGGGACCCTGCAGGACCTCGCGAGGAGGGCAGATTTAGTTCTAATGGAAACAGGAAGTCGGTTGAGGTTTTCAGAGGGGGCTCAGCCCAATCTGCATATTGAAAGGGGGCTCAGGCCTTGATGTGGGCTGTGGGTGGGGGGCAGCCTTTAGTCCCCAGTGAACACGGAGATGTTTGGGGAGCCGGAAATTTAGCAGCTGCCATAATCACATCCATTGGGGCGAACATAAGTCTACCCCCAAGCAGAGGTATCTCCAGAGAAGGTCCCTCCGGCTCTGCGAACAGCTTGGGTGGCCCCGCTGCTTTGGAGGGGATGTGAGACGCCCACCCTCCACAGCCCTCTGGACCACCGGAGCGCCGCTCAGAGCTGCCAGGTGGAGAGGAAGTGGCGGCATCTGCATTTCCGCCAAGTGGTCTCCAGGGGACAACGTAATAGAGGCAGCTTCTCGCTCAGCCCACTTCTTCTTGTTTCATTTTGTCAGAGTCTTGACTGAGACAGGATTTACATATGATGCCGTCACCAGAAGCGGTACAATTCAGTTATGTTTAATAAATAGAACTGATGGTGCAGCTCTCACCGGAATCTAATTTTATAAAATTTCCATCATCTCAGAGAGACCCCCTGTGCCTGTCTGCAGCCCCTCTTCCCACTCTCATACTCCCAGCTCTAGTAATCTATGTGTTTTGATTTGTTTTTCAGTTTTTTTAGACAGCGTCTCACTATGTTGTTTAGGCTGATCTTGAACTCATTAGATAGCCAAGGCTGGCCTGGAACTCTCAGTGATCCTCCTGCCTCAGCCTCCCTAGTGTTAGCATTACCTTTTCGTTCCTGTGAAGACTGCCCTATTGTATGACTCCACTATGACGGTGGTCAATTGATAGACATTTTGGATGGTGTAAACTTCTCTTTTTTTAATTTAATTTTTTTTGTATTTTAGGGAAGGGTTCAGGGCCTCACTACTAGATCAGACTCATAGTGATTCTCCTATTTACAGCCTCCCAAGAGCTGGGATTACAGGTGCGCGCCACCACACCCAGTCTCAATTGCCATCTCAGCACACCCCGGGCGCGGGACCAACACAACAGGCCTGGGAATCGAACCCCCGACCCCTTCGCCTGCTAGCAGGCGCTTTATCTGCTGAGCTATTTGGCCAGCCCGCTCTTTGTTATTTATAAAAGTTCTATGAACACTTGCCTACAAGTCTTTGCAAAGACAGCACTGTCGGACCTCTTCGGTATCTGCCCAGGAGCGCCAGGTTGTATGGTCAGCGTTACACTCCCACTAGGAGTTCTGACGCGCCCACATTCCTATGTCTGTCCTGACACTGTCATGCTTTGGGGTCCTGTAAGGGAAACAATACAATACAGGACACGTAGCATTTTAGAATGAGTCACCCAAAGAGTCCTATACGAGGAGTGCAGGAAATCTGTCCACACACTAAAGACCAAAGACTCCAGCTGAGGGCCTGGACCCTAACAACCTGCATGAGTCCAGCTGAAGACCTGGAGCCTCAACACCGCCTCCTCCCACAGTCCAGCGGGGGCCCTGGAGCCCATGACAAAGTCTCATGCAGCCAGCCTCACAGGTCTGTGATAGGAAGGCCCAAAGGCCGGAGCTGAGGCTCAAAAGTCTGTGCCAGCGGGATGGAGGATCTGTACCAGCAGCTGAGGGGTCTGGACTAGAGTCAGGAAGCAATACCCAAGGTAAGCCCCAGCGCGCCCCCAAAGGTGCCTCAGCGACAGCGAGGGCCTGAGCTCCTCTGAGGATGACGAAAGCTGAGTTCCCGTCAGGAACGCCAACGTGACTAGCTTCCCCAGGAGATTAGGCAGCGCCCCACCTTCCCCTCTGGAGCCAGAAAGAGATGTTCAAGATGAGGATCAGAGCTTCTCCAAAATGAATTGCGGCCATCCTCAGCGACAAGGAGGTCCCGCGCTCCTCCTCTGACAAGAACAGCCAGGTGCACCAGGAAAGCCAGCAGCACAAGGTCACCCAGCAGAACAGCCCAAGAGCTCCAGCAGCTTCCAGCAACTTCCAGCAGCTTCCAGCAGCTTCTCCAAACAGCTTCCCTCCTGGCTTCCGCTGTTCCGCCTCTTGTGCTGCGGGCAACAACCCCCAGCTGGGCCTCCCACACCCAGCACCACGCTAGTTCACTTCAGCTGGGTGTAACAAGTTGACCACCAGTTACCAATCCACCACACTTTCTGTTTTATGCTTAATTTATTCCCGTGCCATAAGTTTTTGTTTCTTCAGTTTCCTCTGGGATATCTTTTTCTTCTGTGCAGCTTCCTCCTCTGGTTTGGGAACAATCTGTTCCTTTTCCTTAAGGGTCATCTCAGTATGGCAGGGGAGCTCCTGGATGGGTGATTCTGGCCATGGGCTCTGTAAGTACGGCGGCGCGTCTTGGGTGCTTTGTTCACCTGGGTGTGTTCAGTAACCAGAGAATCTACATCTAAACCCTTAAGCTCAGCATGACTCTCTGCATTTTTA